ATTGGTTTCATTCTCTCAATTCTGTTCCTTTAGAGAACCCTGACTGTACAACTGAAGAATAGATGCCAAGGTATTTAGCATTGGCTCACAAAATGCAGTAAAATCTTGTTATGAAGTCTGGAGTTGGCTGTCAGCACAAGTTGGCAAGGGGATCCCAGGGAATTTGTGGTGACAAGATAAAAAGATGAGGCACTCCTATAGTCCTGATAATGTCTTTGGTTTGCCTTGAGTTCAGACACAGCTCTCAGGACTTGAGAGACTTTGAGAAAGTAACAAACAAAATACCATTTCTGAAAGAAGGTTTTGGGTGACAGAAGTTCTGGATAACAGGGCAAACCAATTCCATCACCATGAGTTGGAGCTTCCTGAGTGGCCTGCTAGAGGAGATCCACAACCATTCAACATTTCTAGGAAAGATCTGGCTCACTGTGCTGACTGTTTTTGGAACTGTCCTAACTGCTGTGGGAGGAGAGTCCACTATGATGAACAAAGCAAATTCGTGTGCAACACAGAGCAGGTGGGCTGTGAGAACATCTGCTGTGATTCCTTCGCGCCAGTCTCCCACATGCACTTCTGGGTGTTCCAGATCATCCAGGTTGCAACTCCCTCTGTGATGTACCTAGGATACGCTATTCATAAGATTGCCAAAATGGAACCTGGTGAAGCAGACAAGAAGGCAGCTCGGATAAAACCCTATGCTATGCCTTGGAAGCAGCACCGGGCTCTGGAAGAAACAAAAGAGGACTATGAAGAGGACCCTATGATGTATCCAGAAATGGAGTTAGAAAGTGAGAAAGAAAATAAAGAGCAGAGCCTGCATGCTGCTGTATCCCACCAAGATGATAATAATAGATAATACCTTTGAAACTCCAACCCACCCCAATTAAGTGTTTTCATTTCTAAGAGTAGCCATGGTATGGTGTATCTTTGCTGCAATGGAAACCATAAATATGACAAACAGCGTTGTTTTCTATTTTCATATTTGTCACCCTTTAATGTTCTTCTCATGACTTATTGCTCCAGATAATTCTCTTGAGTACAATATTAAGCAGGAGTGACGATCTTGTACAAATTGGTGTCATGTTGACTTCAAAGGGATGACTTCATATTTTCCTCCATTTAGGATGATGTTGGCTGAGAATTTCTCATTAGATAGCTTTTATTGTGTTAATGTATGGTCATTCTTGTCCTACTCTCTCTGGGACTGTTATCAGGAAGGCATTATCTGCATCTATTGAGAAGATTGGGTGATGTTTATCTCTAATTCCATGTCTGTGCTTTTTTAAATCTATTAAAGATGTCTTATCTCTGTGAGTTCCAGACCAAGCCTGCTCTACAAGAGCTATTTCCAGGATAGGCTCTAAAGCTACACAGAGAAACCCTATCTTAACCCCCCCAAAAATATTGACTTATGTATTTCAAAGCATCTCTTTATCTCTGAGACAAAAACAACTTGGTCACAGTGGATCATTTTCGATGTGTATATCTTTTCACATTGCATGGACATTCACTCCCCAAAGCTTAATGGAACATGGCAACAACTTAACGCCAAATCCTCCAATAGGAGAGACCAATACTAAACTCACAATAGCACACCATTCCCTAGGTAACCCCAGGAGGGAATAGGTCTAAGTTCAAATACCGTGGACCACTTTTATATTTGGAAAGCCAACACTGTAGTATCACTTATTGGAATATAGATTTTTATTGTGAGTATTGATTTTGGAACCCCTATGTGTAAATCTTCTCCTAAAACTGTGACACATGTCCTAGAGGATGCTGCCTTATCTGCCATTATGGTATTCTAGATATTATATCTAATGTAGAAATTCAGAGTCAAGGAAGTGTAGTGGTTGGTAGTGTGCTCATGAAATTCATATGCATTACCATGGTTCCCCACTGCCGGAGGACAGCTGACTTCGTAGAACAGTAGATTGTCCCCAACACAGCCGTAGAGATCACCATGGAGGAGCCCAGGTTGCTGTCTAGGCAATATGTAAATCTCAATCCTTTTTCCTGATAAGGAAATCATTATATTTATACTTCCCTATCAATTTTACTCTTCTTGAGTTCCTGTGATGGAGGTGATGGCAGACAGCTTAGCTGCAGCAAGCCAATCTCAGCCAACTCCTCCCGCCTGAAAGTCTGCAGCTCTCTAGACAGCCATTTCATATGTAAACATCAAGCCTTGCTTTCCTTAGAGCTACTAGGTCTCCTGCTGAGTAATCAAAACTCACAGACAGGATTTCCCTGCTGCCAGACTTCATGCTGAGAAAGACATGGCAGGCTGAACAGTTAGAAATACTTTTTACTGTTCCTTTATTTAAAGAACTTGCTTTGCAATGATATCAGCAACCAACCACCTACATGTCATGGTAAATGATGGGATTTGTCAAGATGAGACGGAAAAATGTTTGAACCTTATGTAAGTTGTAGACCTCTGAGGAAGTTACTTAATTATGAGAAAAATGACAGTTAAATGTGACACATGATGCTAATGGAGACTTCAAAGTTCAGAGTTTTAACATATGAACAAGTGGAGTTCTATCCTGGGAGAAGCCTGCAACAATATTTCAAGTGGGCCATTATGGATCACAGTACTTTTCCCACTTTCACACTATATTCTCTAGAATAATGACTCATAGATATAACAGTAACAGTACTCCAGAGCTGATGTTCATTTGCATAAACAGCCTTCCAGAGAACCTGCCCCTAGGATCCCAGATGCTGCACATGCTTGGCACATGAATTGCTTATTTAAAAGGGCTGTTTGACAATCATTGCTGGTCAGATGGAGATGCAAAATAAGGATGATTATGAAGGAAGCAGTATCACTAGGTGAAATCCTCTGGGAAGTGGTTTCTCAGAGTTGGCATACAGAAGTTGTGTTGCAGAGACAGCCAAAGTTGTGCCTTCTCCTGGCAACTGAAATGAATAGTGTCAGATGGTACTGATTTTGAAGGCATAAAGGGATTATGTGAGTAGCTGAGACTTTACATGGTGTGTAGGTCTGTGGCCCCAAAGAGAGTTTATGAGAACCTATTGCTGAATGTGTAGTAAAGTTGCAAGAAGAGATGACAGCAATTTGGACATGCCAGTACCATAAGATGACCCCCCCCCCCCCCTCTGCAAAGAACAGCAGCAGCCACAGAGTGGGTTCTAACTGAGTTTAGGACAGGATTCATTGCATGGAGCTAGGGAAGTGAGGGAGCCGCCGGGGCAGAGGAACTGGCCTGAAAGCAGGTCAGAGGATCTTGAGTGGATCCTAAACATTGTGCACTGCAGTTATTTCCATAGTTGCAGTTTGATGCCGCTTTTATTTGCGACTGTGCCCCAGTTCTTCCCTATTGGAATGAGAAAGGATTTCACTTACTTTTGATTTGATGGACGCCAGCAGCTGAGAGACTTTGGGTTCTATAATGGTGTTTATTATTTTTTAAGAGCCTGAACTCATAAAATACTTGAGTTTGTAAGACTATGGCCTGCCTAAGTTGTGAAATGTTTTATATTATGATGTCAATATTTATGTGTGATCTTGGATATGAACAAGAAAGAAAAGGTTGTGAGTTAACAGTGATATGTTTAGTTGTCAAGTTGACAAGGTGTGTGTTGTCCTGGTTAGTTTTATATGAACTTGTCAGCAGCTAGAATCATCAGAGAAGGGAGTCAACAATTGAGAAAAATGCACCCAAAAGATCTGGCTGAAAGCAAGCCTGCAGGGCATTTTCTTAATGAGGGATTGTGAGTGGGGATACTCCTGGGAATGTGCTCCTATTTTTATAAGAAAGTATGCTGACCAGGGCAATCCAACGAGAAGCTATCCTCCATGACATCTGCATCAGTTCCTGCCTCCAGTATCTTTCTTGAGTTCTTGGCCTAACCTTCCTTGGTGATGGGCATTTAAGTGCAAATGTAATAAAAATACACTTGTTCCTCATCAAGTTGCTTTTGCTCATGGTGTTATATTGCCCTAATAGTCACCATAACTAAGACATCTGCATTTACTCCATGCTGGTTGTACACTGGGACAGTTGTTCCATTGCTACTGACACCCAACAGTGACATAGTATTTCCCTTTTTATGGCTTTCAAATGTGATTGAAGACCAGTGACTTCCAAGGACTCCTCTAGTTCCCCAGGCTTATTTGGGAATTGGTGAGGCATCCAAACTCATAGACTATGCAGAAACTGGGTTGTCAGCTTCTCCAGCAGACTGATAGCCATTGTTGGACAACCCAGTACATATAAGTCACTTTCATAAATCCCCTTTGTAATGTGCATGCCTTCTATGTTTTTGTTCCAATAGAGAGTTGTAACTAAAATTGTTTCATAATAATAGTGAGTGTCTCATAACTGAAATGTTTTGTACTGTTTTCTGAATTTCAGACATTTTGGATTCAAGAATGATTACAAGCCAGGCATTGGTGGCGCACAACTTTAATCCCAGCACTTGGGCGGCAGAGGCAGGTGGATCTCTGTGAGTTTGAGGCCAGCCTGGTCTCCAGAGCGAGTGCCAGGATAGGCTCCAAAGCTACAGAGAGAAACCCTGTCTCGAAAAACCCAAAAAAAAAGAATGATTACATAGTTCATCTAATTTACTTATGATAAACAGTTTATTTGGACAATATAAAAGCAGGAGTTTATTTATGTTTTCTATCACCTCATGCATATAGCCTTATAGTGATTATCTATAGCATTTGAGTACACCTGCATTTTCAGTACTAGCCATAACATGAAATGTAGAGTTTTGCAGTTTTGAAACATATCTGAACTCTATAAGTTATATTTTTGGTAAAGATCAGTTATGAGGAAAGTGTAGAGATTGGGTAGAGAGAGGAAGTTTCTGCTCCATATAACTCTTTAGGAGCCAGACACTTTCAGTATTAGACTATCTCCTCTAGGTTCTCAGGATCCATTCTTTCACTTGTCACTGAAATAAAAGAGCAAGAAACATTTTTATCAGGACAATTATGGCCAAGATATTGTAAAGGGTTACCTTACCTAAGGGATTCCTACACCGAATTTGAGCTTCTCCAGGAATGTTTTGTTCTCCATGAGATCCAGTGCATTGAATACATCGAACCCTTTCATTTTGGCTAGAACAAGGGCGTTGCTCATAAGGTCTAGAAGAGGGGTCTGGGTGTGAACGTTGTAGAAGGAGTAAGCAGCTTTCAGACTCTTGTGTGTTGGATGGTTCATGATGGTGGAGGGAAGCGTATAAAGGCTCAGGAAATCAGTAACCTCACCGTTGGCATTCTCTACCACAAAAGTGTCAATGATGTTCTCTTGGGGGTAGAACCAGTGCTCTACCTCTTCCTGGCTCATGACTGGCGTGAGGTGAAACTGACTGAATTACCTTGTGAGCAGCTGGTGTACTACTGGAATGTCCTTTTTTTCCATTGGTCGTAGCCCAGCTGTCTTGGGAGTCTCTGGCAGTTGGTAGAGCTTCATGGTGCACTGCATGGTCGTATTTCTGCTCAGGTGAGACAACTTCACTTTAATCAACTTCCGAGGGTTTAGGGACCAATGCCAGTACCTGCAGGTGTCAACAGGCTTTGGCAATACCAGGCCAGCAGTGTAAACAGCTTGGAAAATGCCCTCCAGTTGAACCCTCCGGGTTATTTCTTGAATCAAAACTGGAGCCACCCTCTTCGAGCGAAGCTTCTTGTGGACACACAGGAAGTTAATCTCCACCATCTTCTTCTCTGTGTCATAGATGTGGATGATTGCTGGGATGGCACTGATGAACCCAACCAGTTTCCGACTTGAGACCACTCGAACCCCGCAGTGCTACTGTGGGAGCCAGCCAGGTGGCCGGAGAGCCCACAAAAGAAACTTTGGGGAATAATCAAGTCGGAACATGTTGTCATCGTCTTCCACGTAGTTCTCATTCAGGAGGGTGTACAGTTCTTTCAGCACACCACGGTCTCCCATGTCCAAGGCATCCCAAGTGAAGTCCTGGAGTAGGGTATAGGGCTCCTGGCGAATGTTGTCCTTGTCAGGTTCCACTGGCCCATGGGTATTTACTACTTCACCCAGTTTGGGGACTGGCTTTGTATCCCAGAACTGGTAGCTTCGCTTGCTGGCCTCCTCCATGGTTTTGGCTGGTCCCTGCCCCACTGAGAACAGCTCAATGGCCTTCTGTATTTCCTGGATCCTCTCTGCTGGCAAAGAGTTCATCTTCAAAGACTGATCCTGGGCTGAATCTGTGTCATTGCCTTTCTCTTTCTTCTTCTTTTGTTTCTTTTTCTTCTTCTTGACTCCAGTGTCATTGACTGGACTCAAGCCACCCCGGTTGTAGCTGTTGTCCTCCTCGTTCTCGCAATCGTTGCAGTGCTCATAGCCGTTTCCGTTCCCTTCCATCATCTGCTGTGTCACTCTCATCCGGCATCTTGGGTTGCGAGAGCCAGGCTCCTGTATTGCCTTTTTTTTTGAATAATGATTTTTGTCCAGATAGAGGCGACTTGTGCAAGAAAGCACACCATATGTTGTGCATATCCCAGTACTGAAATATGTACCTGCAGCACAGGTATGAGCTCATTAGAGACTTGTTCATGATAATGAACTATTTAAAATCCTGTGACATTAACTTTCCACCTAGATCATACAGTGGTCAGTGTGCCTGATACCACATCCAAAAGCATCAGTTGGAATAAGTTCTGTGTTAAATGATGCTTATTGGTTCTAGGAGACTTCTATCATAACTGAGATATAAGAAAAACACATTGCACAGTGTAGGTGTATGTCCGACTCATATACTGTACTACTGGCAATACTTAGGAGAGGGAAACGGTTTATAGATGACGAGGTCACCCAACATGGACAGTTTCATGTCCTGATATGTACCTGTGGCATCACTCAGAGTCTCACCAATCAGACAATGGGTAAATTTTAACAAATGAGAAGCTTTTCCTCAGATAGCATCACTAGGAATGATTTGCACTTGGCAACAAGTCTGCATCTGACAGTGCTCTCAAGGTACAGCACCTAGTCATATTAGGCCAGGGCTTATAAAGGGAATATAACAGCAACTGGGAAGATGATTTGGCTGCTAACGACAAAAAACTTAGTCTGTCTTCAGGAAGCTTTTGGGACAAAAGATGGATTCCACTTGGAAAAATTTTGACAAGTCTGCATCTGACAGTGCTCTCAAGGTACAGCACCTAGTCATATTAGGCCAGGGCTTATAAAGGGAATATAACAGCAACTGGGAAGATGATTTGGCTGCTAACGACAAAAAACTTAGTCTGTCTTCAGGAAGCTTTTGGGACAAAAGATGGATTCCACTTGGAAAAATTTTGACAAGTCTGCATCTGACAGTGCTCTCAAGGTACAGCACCTAGTCATATTAGGCCAGGGCTTATAAAGGGAATATAACAGCAACTGGGAAGATGATTTGGCTGCTAACGACAAAAAACTTAGTCTGTCTTCAGGAAGCTTTTGGGACAAAAGATGGATTCCACTTGGAAAAATTTTGACAAGTCTGCATCTGACAGTGCTCTCAAGGTACAGCACCTAGTCATATTAGGCCAGGGCTTATAAAGGGAATATAACAGCAACTGGGAAGATGATTTGGCTGCTAACGACAAAAAACTTAGTCTGTCTTCAGGAAGCTTTTGGGACAAAAGATGGATTCCACTTGGAAAAATTTTGACAAGTCTGCATCTGACAGTGCTCTCAAGGTACAGCACCTAGTCATATTAGGCCAGGGCTTATAAAGGGAATATAACAGCAACTGGGAAGATGATTTGGCTGCTAACGACAAAAAACTTAGTCTGTCTTCAGGAAGCTTTTGGGACAAAAGATGGATTCCACTTGGAAAAATTTTGACAAGTCTGCATCTGACAGTGCTCTCAAGGTACAGCACCTAGTCATATTAGGCCAGGGCTTATAAAGGGAATATAACAGCAACTGGGAAGATGATTTGGCTGCTAACGACAAAAAACTTAGTCTGTCTTCAGGAAGCTTTTGGGACAAAAGATGGATTCCACTTGGAAAAATTTTGACAAGTCTGCATCTGACAGTGCTCTCAAGGTACAGCACCTAGTCATATTAGGCCAGGGCTTATAAAGGGAATATAACAGCAACTGGGAAGATGATTTGGCTGCTAACGACAAAAAACTTAGTCTGTCTTCAGGAAGCTTTTGGGACAAAAGATGGATTCCACTTGGAAAAATTTTGACAAGTCTGCATCTGACAGTGCTCTCAAGGTACAGCACCTAGTCATATTAGGCCAGGGCTTATAAAGGGAATATAACAGCAACTGGGAAGATGATTTGGCTGCTAACGACAAAAAACTTAGTCTGTCTTCAGGAAGCTTTTGGGACAAAAGATGGATTCCACTTGGAAAAATTTTGACAAGTCTGCATCTGACAGTGCTCTCAAGGTACAGCACCTAGTCATATTAGGCCAGGGCTTATAAAGGGAATATAACAGCAACTGGGAAGATGATTTGGCTGCTAACGACAAAAAACTTAGTCTGTCTTCAGGAAGCTTTTGGGACAAAAGATGGATTCCACTTGGAAAAATTTTGACAAGTCTGCATCTGACAGTGCTCTCAAGGTACAGCACCTAGTCATATTAGGCCAGGGCTTATAAAGGGAATATAACAGCAACTGGGAAGATGATTTGGCTGCTAACGACAAAAAACTTAGTCTGTCTTCAGGAAGCTTTTGGGACAAAAGATGGATTCCACTTGGAAAAATTTTGACAAGTCTGCATCTGACAGTGCTCTCAAGGTACAGCACCTAGTCATATTAGGCCAGGGCTTATAAAGGGAATATAACAGCAACTGGGAAGATGATTTGGCTGCTAACGACAAAAAACTTAGTCTGTCTTCAGGAAGCTTTTGGGACAAAAGATGGATTCCACTTGGAAAAATTTTGACAAGTCTGCATCTGACAGTGCTCTCAAGGTACAGCACCTAGTCATATTAGGCCAGGGCTTATAAAGGGAATATAACAGCAACTGGGAAGATGATTTGGCTGCTAACGACAAAAAACTTAGTCTGTCTTCAGGAAGCTTTTGGGACAAAAGATGGATTCCACTTGGAAAAATTTTGACAAGTCTGCATCTGACAGTGCTCTCAAGGTACAGCACCTAGTCATATTAGGCCAGGGCTTATAAAGGGAATATAACAGCAACTGGGAAGATGATTTGGCTGCTAACGACAAAAAACTTAGTCTGTCTTCAGGAAGCTTTTGGGACAAAAGATGGATTCCACTTGGAAAAATTTTGACAAGTCTGCATCTGACAGTGCTCTCAAGGTACAGCACCTAGTCATATTAGGCCAGGGCTTATAAAGGGAATATAACAGCAACTGGGAAGATGATTTGGCTGCTAACGACAAAAAACTTAGTCTGTCTTCAGGAAGCTTTTGGGACAAAAGATGGATTCCACTTGGAAAAATTTTGACAAGTCTGCATCTGACAGTGCTCTCAAGGTACAGCACCTAGTCATATTAGGCCAGGGCTTATAAAGGGAATATAACAGCAACTGGGAAGATGATTTGGCTGCTAACGACAAAAAACTTAGTCTGTCTTCAGGAAGCTTTTGGGACAAAAGATGAATTCCACTTGGAAAAATTTTGAGGAGATGGGTGTGAATTTTGCTGTTGTCAGTTCCAATGTTTTTCAGAGATTTTAATATCTAGAAGCTGCATATGTCTGGAATCTCTGCAAGGCTTAATATGTAGAACACATGAAATTAGTGGGCAGAGATTAGAATGTTTTAGACTGTGTCCATCTGAAGAAAAATCTATCCAGTCTTGGTAACAGAAGGAAGGGTGTAAAATCAGCATTGGAGACTGGGGTTAGACTCATGGGAACTCCCATGGCTTCTGTATGCATGGACTCTCCTCTTGGCTTGGGACCAGGACACTCAATGTTAATGGTGTGTATTTTTGCATGAGCATAACCACAGCATCACTCTTTCTCCTTGTCTCTCTTGTCATCTCTGTTTCTCTCTGTCTTTGTCCTTCATTCTCTCTGTATATACTAAAATGGCTAATTTTTCTCATTTAGGTTTACTCTTTTGTTTACATATGTGCTTTGCATCATGTTCATTAGGCCACATCCCTGATTCAAGGACTCATGACCAGAATTCCTTGGTGTTGCCTTTTTTCTAGCCTCATCAGATCATTCCACTGTCCTGATTTAGAATGGTTTTAATGTAAAGAAAATCCCCCATGTAGCCTGAAAAAATTCTACAGCCTCTCAGTGAATATACTACCCAAGTAAATATTAAAGTGTCATAGGACCACATGGGTAAATCATCCCATACTCTTAATCACAGAAACTAGTCATCTGCTTAATGTAAGAGAATTTTTAAGCAGATAACAGGATTCAGGAGCACCGAATGAGCACAGCAGTTTAAAAGAAAAACTGACCGCCTGGTATTCTTCTGCTAGGACTTGGGGTGGGGGAATAAGGGGCAACTGTGGGTGGGTGTTAACCTAAATCCAGCATTACACATAATGCTCTCTTGCATTTGTCTAATGAAACCTGCTGTTCAGAGTCAATTTTCTGCAGACATCAAACCCCTTTCACTAGTGCTTACATCAGTGTTGATGGTTACCCTACTCGGTCACCCCTTCTGGGGAGGGGGTGAGAAGATGCAGCATCAAGACTCAGGCACCTGGAGTCAGTGAGTAGCAGAGCATGCTGCAGACTCATTCATTATGGGTGTTAGACCTGCCTTTATACCCCCTCCCAAGATCCTGTTGTCTCGGGTAGCTGACTCTGCGGTGTTGTCCCTTTCTCCTTGGTGTCTCTGGGTCAGGTGTCTCTCCTTCAGCAGTCTCTGGGAGTTGAGGCAGGTTTGGAGGGTTGGCTCAGGGAGGAAGTCCCTGCAGTGCATGGGCATGCTCATGCAGGCTGGCCTGGGCACCAGGGGCAGGACAATTTCAGCTTGGGTAGGCTAGCCGCAGTTTCTCCTACACTCCAGGCTCCCAGAAATAAAAATTGCCAAGGAGAGAACCTTTAAACAGCACCCCACCTTCAGTGTACAGAGTGCCTCACCCTCAAGGAACATGCTCTGTAGCTTTGGGGTGATGTAGATCCATCCTCTGGATCTTTGATTAACCTGGTAGTATGGGAACAAGATGGATTCAGAGGTAGAGCAAGCAATCCATCTTCTGTTTCCAGTAGCCTGCCCAGGTGCCACTGACTCCAGGTGCCTGAGTCTTGATGCTGCATCTTCTCACCCCCTCCCCAGAAGGGGTGACCGAGTAGGGTAACCATCAACACTGATGTAAGCACTAGTGAAAGGGGTTTGATGTCTGCAGAAAATTGACTCTGAACAGCAGGTTTCATTAGACAAATGCAAGAGAGCATTATGTGTAATGCTGGATTTAGGTTAACTAACTT